ATCTTATTATGAGAAACGACTTATACTTTTTCAGCATTTGATGAAATAAACAGCTGCTTCATCTTTCATTCCATTCCTAACAAGTCTTATTAATCACAAACTTACGTCAAATATAGCTCAATGCGCTCTCATATGGAATGTTTTGTTATATTATAAGGTACTTCTCCCACTTTCCTGGCGTGTCTTCTTGGTGTGGTGGTCTGCACATTGGGCCGGTATTCAAGAGGTCCGTGGTTCGATTCCCGGCGAAGGCACTGTTAATTTTGTATCTTTCCTGCTTCCAGAAAATCCTAATGTTCCTACAGTGGCACCCGAACTAAAAGGGTGATGAATGATGATTCTCCCCCACGCAGGATTTGACGATTGGATCCCCTAAGAAAACCCAGTATCCCTTTAAAATGAGGATTATATAAGGTATTTCTCCCGCCTTACTAGCGTGCCTTCGTGGTGTGGTGTTCTGCACACTCCAGAGGTCCGTGGTTCAATTTCAGGCGAAGGCTAATTTTTTATATTTCCTGCTACCAAAAAAATCATTATGTCTCTACAAGGAGTTGGAATAAAGATGCAAAAATTGCATTTTTCGATCACGAGTGTTGATCTTTAATTGTTATTACAGTTTCGTGGACAATATGCAAAACAATCTATCAATATCCAGGAGAAGTCTTTCGCTCAATTCGTTGAGGTGGCGGGCGTTCGGATGGATGGAAAAGGGGATGTCACAAGTTGATACTGCTAGACGTTTCAGTGTCTCGTAGTGTGGTCCACCGACTATGGAATCAGTTTCAATCTGAGGACTGTGTGTCTAGAAGACATGTTCCATCCAGACCTAGAGTTACAACACCTGCAGGAGACAGTTATTTAGCTCTTTCGGCCTGAAGGAAGAGTAACGTTACTGTACCTCAACTCAGGGCAGATCATTTAGCGGCAACAGGAACAAGAATCTCAGCTACTACAGTGCGCAGACGCCTGCACAATGCAGGTCTGTATGCAAGACGACCAGCTGTTTGTGTCCCTTTGACCCGAGGGCACAGAGGTGCCCGTTTATGCTATGCAAGCGAACACGTCTTCTGGACCAATCAACAGTGGGCTTCTATTCTCTTCACACTCCAGGTTCACATTGGAGAGTGATTCAGATGGTCAGCTGATCTGGAGGGAACAACGCAAAAGATAGAACCAATCCCACATTGTGGAAAGACACAGTTATAGTGGTGGTGGAATAATGGTTTAAGCTGGGATCTCTCTCGGTGGTCACACTGACATGTATGTGTCCATGGAGGCACTTTGACCGGTGTAAGATATCAAGACGAGATCCTTGATCAATATGTCAGCTTATACGCCGCTACTATTGGTCCTAGATTTCTTCTGATGAACGACAATGCGCGACTGCAGCAAGCTCCGGTTGCTGAATATCTTGAGGGTCACGGTATGGAGCGTAGTGTATGACTAGCTCAATCCCAAGACCTGAATCCGACAGACCATGTTTGAGACTACCTAGGCAGACAGGTTGGTACTTTAAGTCTTCCTCCAAGGTCGTTAGATGAGCTTGAACAAGGAGTACTCCGTGTCTGTTCATTGCTTCCCATTTCACTGACCGAAAACTTAATTAACAGCATGGAACGTCGCTGCTGCCAAAGTATTGCAGCTAGGGGTGGACACATTCCTTATTAAAATCCGTTTTTGTAATGTTACCACCGCATGTTTCCTCAAAAAAATGTGATATACTGTTTCTCCAAGCCTGGTATTTCTCTGCGAAGAGTGCAATTTTATGTTGTAATTAATGTTTGTGTTGAGCTTTAGAAACATTATATGCCGCATTCATTAAATAACTGTTTTGATGGTGAACATGTCCTGTAAATTTCTTGTTTCAATGTTGCTTCATTTTCAAATCAGACACAAAAACATACTGTCCCTTAACCTTTCGAGTGCAGTGTAATTGAAGCATTAAGGGGGGGATGTTACTTTCTTTCATAAATTAATTTTTACACTTTGCATTGCTATTGAATATGACTTACCTGATGTGAACGCAATTTCTCTTTTACGTATTTAGGGATATTGAAAATCTTAGTAGTGCAATAGACATTTAAAGTCCTATGTAGCTTTCTGTTGTATAAGTTGAGAGAGGGAGTCAATCTCCCAGTAAAATACATATAGTAGGCCAAACTGATGTTCCTGGTTTTGTTAAAAATGTTAAAGTTTAGCCATTACTTGTGAAAGATAAAAAAATAATGTGTAAATCAAAATTTTAAATTTAATTTGCAATACTCCCTTAACTCTCTATTTTAATTTAGTGATTTTCCACTTCAGTTTTAAAAGATAGTAACTGCTTATAATAAATCATGTCATTTAAAAATTAATCCAAGTCATATGAATATTGCATTATACTAATGAAGCAGATACTCACATAAAGTTTCAGACAATAGTGATTTTACTGTCATAAAGATGTAAAAAGTACAAGAATAATCAAGAACGGTGCGCTGACAAAATTTTTCGTTGCCGTGCAATTCAAAATAAGAATTCTTCTCAAGAATCGTTTTGTCTAGAAATAAAATTTATTGAATAAGCCATGAATGCTACTTTGTGTTTCACAAACACAAACACAAATCATCACATATTTTTAAGCCAGTAGGATTATACGTGTGGGGAATATTGTAATGAGAATCATTTGGCCTGTCAATCTCTGCAGTAAAGTTATAAATAACCAAATGATATTATTTTTCGTTTTCCAACACATGCTTCGTAGGCAAATGATATATTTCCCAAAATATTGTAGTTAGTTTAAAGTTTTTCATCGTTCATATGCCATTAGATTCAATAATTGAAAAACTAAAATTCTGCATTGAATTTCTTACATTTAATTTCTCGCCCTCATTTCTATGTGTTCGCAACTGTCAAACATCAGGATTTGAATAATATAAGCTAAAGATGTGAATCATATAGCTTTAAGCTAGGACCGCTTTAGGGAATTGAAAACTAAGAAAGAGAAAATTTGTCAAAATTCGCATTGTTCTTGTAATTTTTTTGGCTTACTCAACTGGTAATTTTTTATTTAAATTCGGATAAATAATTCTGTCATAATAAATATTTTTATGGGATGGTATTGTTCGAGTACTAAATTTTATTGCCGATTACTTCTAAATTTTATGTAACAGTTATTAGATATAACGTCTCTAAAATGTCAGAAAATAAATCCAAAATTGTTTCTTTGGATAAAAAAAAGAGTTCCTCGTCCTGCCATTGATTCCACCTTACTTGTTACTTACTAAGTTTACCTTACTTGTTGTTAAACTGTCAGTAATAATTTTATCTAAATATAATGCAGAATAAAATGTCACTACTTGCCAAAAATATTTATTAGTATCGGAAAAACTCCTGCAAGTGAATGAAACAAAAGTTTCAAATGAAATACTTTCCAAACTAGAGAAGCAAATTTGGTACTTGTCTATTAAAAGATTACTGTCTTCTATTTCAAGATATTCGCAAATACAGAATAAGGCTTCGCCTTATGAAAAACCAGAAAGATACTAAATTTCCCTTTTTCCGAAATACCTCATTCTAGCGCAAAAGGAAGATAAAGTGTAGAGTATTAAAAGTTAAAAAGTGCTTTGTGCTTTATGTCTTCAATTAGAATGTATTCACTTCGATAGCATATACTTTAAGCATTACTGGTAATTTAAGCATGTATTTTTAATTAGCATGTCAAAAATGGTAAATAAAAATGGCATTTATATAAATAAAATTATATATGAAGCATATATAAAGAAGAACAAAAGCATAATAAATTATATATGAAGAATAATAAATTATATAGAGAATTAATAAAAGCATAATAAATTATATAGAGAATTAAATAAAAATAAATAAAAAAGCATAAAATTATATAGAGAATTAAATAAAAGCATAATAAATTATATAGAGAATTAAATAAAATTATGTATGAAGCATATATAAAGCAGAACATAAATCTGAAAGTTTTTGAACAGCAATGTAACTGCGCTTTGTCTTCAATTAAACGTGTTAAATTTTCACGAGCAACATATTATAACTTTCCATGTCACTTTAAGCTTTACTTTTACTGCGCGATTCGGAAAAGCCTCACTATGATACTTGTGAGTTTATGAGCATGAAGAAGTTATGGACGAAGTATGATGGTTAGATTGCAAAGGGGCATAGACATTGAGTCATTTGAAATCTAATTCAGATCAATTAATTCTTTATCAGATTATTACCTGCGTGCCTCTGTTAGTCGCATGGAGACATATGTATTTCAGAGTTAGATGCACTAGAAAAGCTCTTCTAGAGACATCGACTTGCAGCAGATTTGCAACTAAAATATTTACCCTTATTTATTAAGGAGAAAGATAGAGATGGAATATAGTGCATTCTTAGTCCAGTACCTGTTCACTGGCGATATACCAACACGTTTAACAAATAAGCTGCTACCTTATACCCTAATACGCTATGAAATACCATCAAGTCTTTCGATATTCAGTGAGAATATCGTAATGTCTAGGAATGCTTCAATAAGCATTTCCATTTTGTGTCTAGATATTTTGCGTTATTTGATTTTGAAAGCGAGAAAATGTTACTTATTTTATTTAGCTTGAGCCTACGGGACTATTTCAATAAGTAGGCAAAATGCAGTAAAAGAACAGGAAACAAGGCTAAAAATAAAATATCAAAATATAAGTAAAATTGCTAGGAGCCTGGAGGTCTCAGGATTTCGGATGCATCACATTGACTTAACTAGAGAGAAATGAATGATATAAGGCAGATATTTATGTCAATGAAAGAGATAAACCACATTAAAACATTTTGGAAAACCCATAAACGTAGAAATGTCTGGAGATTTTGAACAAAAAGAAGAGAAAGGAAAAGGAGGAAATATTCACTTAAAAGACAAATCCTAGAAAAACACTTTACAAAACAAACATGAAAGAAATGAAGATAGAACACTTACTTTTAAATATTATAGTTTTCAATAATAAATTAAAATTACTTACCTATTTATTACACAGGAAAAAGTAAACTGTCTCCTCGGAAATCTTTGATCCATTTAATGTTGGCAAAATACTTCAGCTTGAGAGGTCGCACTTTCTGTCAAATGAAACTTTTAGAACCCTAAATCGACAATATAGTTAAGATATTTTTGTTCACTGCAGATACACAAATAAATCCATAAAGAAACATTTAAAAACTTACCTTATTCTTGTTGTTTGCACAAAGATATAATCCAATAAACACTTCAAGGAACTCACCTTGGAATGGAATTGAACACAGTTTGGAAACAAAAACTGATAACTTGACAAAGCGAAAACAGTACTGAAATTATTCACTACCCTCTTTCTCATAAACAAATTAATTATAAGCAATTACACTTTCCTGTCGTAGAACGAATGTATTTTAAAAGCATTGTGAGGAAATAATTATTTTCCCAACTCTTCTTCTGCTTAGCATCAAATAAAAGTCAATTAAAACTCCGTCTAACATCTGTTTACAACTAACTAGCAAATTAATACAAGAACAGCATGATTGAAAATAAAATTATTATAGTATAACCCTATAATTCATTTATATTTAAACAAATGCATCGAGTACTGACTGACAGTTGCTTCTGGAATGCAAAGATAAAATATGAAGGTGAAGCATTAGAAGCCATTTCAGTAAGTATGAACATATCAAAATGAATATATGCATTAGAGCAATGTGTGTATATGCATATTTAAGTAGTGCAAAATGAATCAAAATAAATAATATGTTTAAAATTCATCTCATATTCAATTTTATATGAATCACATGCGAGAAACAAAAAACAGAAAGCAGAAGCACAATGGCAAAATGCATAAAATGGGCAAAAAATGCCAAAATCAAAAGTGAAAAATAAATTAACGTCTTTCACTGCATCGTCAACAGGGGGATGGTGCAGCAAGAAAAATAAATAAAATCAGCCTGTTTCTGAACCAAAAGAGACACAAATTAATGTTTAATACTTAAAATAATCTCAGAAACTCAATCAAAGTAATATAGTCTTTATCCGAGTAATCCCTATAGGTCATAATAAGTAGTGCAAAAAACTGTAAACTTATAGCCTCAAAATCATTAACAAGCTTTAAAAAATTAAATTAAAAATATATGTTTGAAATAGACTAAGTACCCCCGCCAAAAGAAGCAAATGCAAGAAATCCAATACATAAAAAATAATAACATATGTAATCTTTGAAACCATGCAGGCCGAAGTAATGTTTTTAAAGTATAGCATCGAAATTATAAACAAGCAAATGAATAATAATTTAGGTACTACTACTAAATGTCTTAAAATTAATAAACCTAAGAAGCTGATACCAAAGCAGATTATCTAAATTAATAAATAAGCAATAGTTTAATTGAGGTCGGTCACCTACTTTCCAGCAATAAAATTAAACTGATTTCGATACTGCAACCTATTCGTCTTCGTTAATGAATATAATTTCATTAACAATTACCATAAACCAAATTTCTGTTAAATTTACCTACAGATATATTGATGACATCATTAATTATTACAATGAAATAGGAAAAAAAAGGTCTCTATGATAAATATCCTAAAATTAATAAAACTAAATCGATGAGACCGAAGCAGATTATCTAGACCTACAAATTTACAATCTCAACAATGTTACTTTACTTAATAAAGGTGGAATTTTCAATTTCAGAACAAATAAACTAATTAATTGGAAATCCAGTCACTAAAGAAAAGTTATTCCTAACAATATTATTAATAAACAAAAAGAATAAAAAATATTTGTCACAACAACAATGATTTTACAAAAGAATTTAGTTTATAAATTAAAATGCCTAAAAGATAACAAAATCCCTGAAATTTCATCAAAAAACAGCTAGGTAAATTATAGTTTATAATCTAAATACTATTTTCACTACCAAACTGCAGTTTCGCATGATAGGCTACACCTAAGTCATTATTGTGGTATAGTCTGAATGTCCGTGTCAAAATTCTTATCTAAGTTTTAATTTTACTGTTCGAATAATTATCTGTCTCTTTTATTAAAAATATGAGCCAACTTCATCTTCCAAGTCCCAAGAATGCTCGATTCAGTATTCTGTAACATTTGACAACTATTTCCATTTTCTGCCTTTTTTCCCATTTTATGTTACCTATAATTTTTAACGTATTTTCTATATTCCTTATTTGCATTCTATAGGTTTGCCCACAACTTTGCTTGCAGTTTACTAGACAATTTCGGAACTTCATCCCATTTATTTAGCTTCATCAGCTTTATTTATTTATTCTGCACAATTCTTCGTCACCGATGATCCGATGTATATTATGTCACCCTAATTCACGTTCATGATTAAAAATACAAAGTACATTGATTATTCGATTGCCACTGAACTTAAGTTTTTAATAGAAAACACAATATTGGATATTATAAACATGGGTAACACCATCTTTTCTGTCAAAATGAATAACAGTATTGTAAACATCCTTCTCTTTTATATATTTTCTGCCTACGCTACTTATTTGGCAGGTGTGTGGCCATCAGATCTTTATGAATGTGTTGACGTGGTACCCGGGCGTGAAAGATTGAATACCGCTACTCTAAACTGAACCAAGAAAGTTCGAAGATATATTTTTCAAAATTTGTAAGATCTACAATTTGAAATTTGATTTCATTTTCTTCAGTTATAACGTAATTATTATTAGGAAGAATCGATTTCTATTTATTATTCGACACTAAGTTCCCAATTTCATGCAAATGGATTGCTTAAGATGCCGAAAGAATCAAATTTTATATTAGACGCTTGTCTGAGACTTGCATTGAGGGAGGTAATAATAATCCTAAACGGAAAAGTATAATTTCGTTTAACTGACTATAATAAAATAGCGCTGTCTGAGACTTAAGACTCAGGACACAAAGAGCAATTAAAAATTAGTATAATAAATATTATTTTAAATCCCGTTTCATATATTTCATATTTAGAGAGAGAAATTTTCACAAACAGTTGTCTCAAATGCTAAGTTAAACTCGATTCATCTTCGGAAACAATAAAGAAAAGTCATTTCTATAGTAAACATATAGAGATCATGGTGTCCTCTAGTGGTAATTTCGTGTAGCTGACTGTAATAAAATAGCGCTTTCTGAGACTTAAGATTTACATCACATAAAGAGCAGTTAAAAAAAATTAGCAGAATAAATACTATTTTAAATCGCGTTTCATATATTTCATAGTTAGAGAGCATAACGTTCACAAACAGTTGTCTCAAATGCTAAGTTAAACTCGATTGATCTTCGGAAACAATAAAGAAAATTCATTTCTATAGTAAACATAGAGAGATCACGGTGTAATCTAGCGGGGAAAAGAATGAAACTACTTATGTAGAATAAACAAAGAAAGATAAAGAATCATGAACACGAAGCTTATCGCCAAAACTAATTGATCCATTGTATTCGTGAAACAAAAATGAAGCCCACCTGCCCTGTCCATTGGGAGAAAATATTTGCTAAGCTTAAGAAAATCAATAGACTGTGGAGTTCCTGCGATTTATCCTAAGGACAAGAGAGCTAATTACTTTTTTGTGGTATCTCAGGTGCTAAAAGATTTCGTTGTGATAATTTATTTCGGATTTTTCATTCGGAAGAATTCTTTACGATACTTTGTTTTGAACGTTTTATGTAAAAACATGAACTCAAGTGAATCCCGTGGATAAGGAGAAACGTGGTTGTAAATATCGAATTTTAGAAAAGGATTACGTAGTCACTTTTTTAAAAATAATAATGCATTAGGTTTTTTTCACAGTTGTTGGATTTTAGTATCTGTTAATGATTTAGCTTTGTATTTCTTTCACTTGGTATTGCAAAATATGTATGCAACCTGCGGCGTAGTTGATGAAGAACTCAATCTTAAATTTTAATCTTATTTACCTATTTACTCATTTCCATTTAAAGATAATTCAATAACATTCATAATTTAACAACACTAATTTAATGAAAATAACTTATTCCGTAAAGCATCAAAAGAAATAATAGCATATTTTATTAGTGAAATCTTGATTTAATAAAAGTTTGGTTTTCAGTTAAAAAGTTAATACATTGCAACTAAATTCCTTTCCATTTGTTTTTTAATTGAAATGATTGATGATTTAAGGAACAGCTTTCCAACTTAAGGATGTTTCTTTCAGTTCTTGATTTAAAATATATTAACCATTTTAAAAGATCTAAAATACCTGCGGCAAAACATATATAAAAAATATCTTTATTCAGGTCGGCTGTTTCTTAATGAACTAAGACTTTCCATAAATAATTAAATATCTCTATAAAATATGAATAATAATCTTTGATGGTTAACGCTGAAAAGAAATGCAAGTGAAAAAATACTATTTTATATAAACTGCAAAAACTCACTTAACATGTCATAAAGCTAAGAAATGGGTGTTTAGTCTAACAAGTCTCCTTAATATATATGATTTGAATAACTCAAAATAACGTATTTGTCCTCTATGTAATTTCACTTCATCAAAGCCAGCTCGAAATCTATTATCATTCAGCTGCAGAACTTGCGCCAAAGATTGGGTTACGCAACTAGAATTTTCAAATATTCAACTCATGTTCCTTCAATCTCCTTTTACAAGTTTTTCCCGTTTTTTCAGTACATATATATTTACAGCATTTACAAGCTATTTCGAGCACTTGATAATTTTCTCTTTATCACATCCTAATATGTTATACATATTTATGTTTTAATCTTTCTTTATCACATCCTAATATTTTATACATCTGTTTATTCTAGTAGGGAAAAATGGCGTTTAGTTTCGAATTTCTTATTTAAGATACAGTTAAATTGTCTGTCTGAAATAAAGGTTCTTCATATGTACAAGTATCTTTCCTATTCAATAATGTATTAAAACTTTTTTACTTTTTCCTTAAGCAAACTTATTTACAAGTTCCCTAGCTTTTGAATAAAAACAAGGGATAAAACAGATAATGTTTACAGGGCTTCAATTCCAAACATGAAAATGCGTTGGAGACATGTTGCCTCTTTTAGCATGCCAAATAATCAACAATTATTGCAAAACATAATGATGAGTGATTTTTGCAAAAT